TGGTCTTAGCGAAATATTGGACGACACTGCAATACTTTATGGCCTATGTGAATGCTGTCTTTTCATCTAGGACTTTTCTTCAAGATTAATTTTTAACGGCACAAACACGAAAATCTCTCTACAGTTAAATATTACTCATGTCCTCTACTTTCCTAAATGATGTAATTCGAATAAATCTAATTTAATTTGTAATTCATGCTTCTATCAAACTGTATTTCTTCAAATTTTAAAATAGCGTGTTGAATTGTTTTACCTAAAAATAACAGATAAGAGTTTTTTAATGATACGCTAGGGATCTTAAAGAAATACAAAAGGTGCAGTCAACCCTGGTTGATATACAGAATAATGTTCATATGACAGTATGTCTATCGAATTGAATTAATACCCACTTTGATTACTGTGGGCGTTAATGAAGTACATGCCGTGAAGGACCAGGCTCACAATGTACAGGATGCTGACAAAGAGAATTTCTTGGAACGGAACGAAAAAGCGTCTGGTTTGGTACGTCAAGTTGTATAACATCACTTTAATCTCTGCCACTGAAAGGATATAGATAAAATACAAGTTAAGAAAGGGTAAGTTAAAATAATGACACCTTAAAATAAATCGCCAGGTAATGTTGATGATACAGAGATTTGAACTTATTTTCATATCTTTGTTTTAAAAATGAATGCGCCGTCTAGTACTTTGTTTGTGCACTTTTTAAAACATAAAACATGATTAAGCTTCAGACCTTTTTCTTCAATATATCACGTACATATATTGAGAGAGAGAGAGAGAGAGAGAGGGGGAGAGAGCGGTAGGATGGGGATAGGATGAAGGGGGGGATACTGGTAAGTGAAATAACTTATGGTTAAATACATACCATGATTATGCAGAAGTTGGTATTGCAACATGTTAATTTGTCCTTGGTTTACTGCAACTCCGAGGTTTCGCTTGTCTTGCTGTGATTTTAAAGAACCCCTTCACACACACACACACTCACACACACATATACACACAGATGGGTGGGTAGGGCTGGTGGTAGAAGCTTAGTAGAAATATGAATGCTTACCATGGTTATGCAGAAGTTGGTATTGCAACATATTTATTTGTTCTTGGTTTACTGCAACTCCTGAGAATGTGATGTGGTTCGCTTGTCTTGCTGTGATTTTAAAGAATGCGTTCATGTGGCCATTGATACTCTCATTTGTATTTAACTAGGAAATTAAAAGAAAATTCTGTATTTGCAACATGTTTCATTAGATCCGCCTGATTTTTTAACTTAAATTCTTGGGATGAATACTGTATGAATAATAGATTTCGTTATGGAGAAACACGTACACGCATATATATACATGTATATTCGATAGGGTAACCACATAGAACAATATTATTAAGTTATGATACATAACGCTTAAAAGTAAAACGGAAGGATGATTAAATTTAACTTTATTTTGTTACCATAGCACCAAAAAGTCAGATGGAGATTAAGAGTAGACATATTTTTTGCTTTTATTTCAAATGATGAGGGACATACTTTTATAAGGTACCAGGTATCGTTTGACTCAAATCGGCTTTGGTTGACCTTGATGATGACCATTGCTGCTATGTGCCAGGAAAGGAGCAGGCAAAGGCCAACCATGAAGAGATACGGGATGAAACTTCCTGTTGTCAACCACCCAAACTGAAAGACAAACAAAATTACAGCAGTAGGCCTATATCTTATTTAACAGTTTACATGTATATTCAGAAACTAGACTGAAGTAAATCTAAATGGGTGGGTTGATATGTGTGTATGTGTACTTGTGAAATAGCTTTCTATGAATACATTGTTAAGTCCAAATATCAAATTTGTATTTGTCTTTTGCAAAAGGTTATGCAGTCGTTTTGGTTTGATATGGTTTAAAATGCTTGGCTAGTTTTATACATGTATGTACATGTAACTTTATGTTTGGACACGTGAATGATTTTACACGTTTTGATTGCTTCACTAGAAAGCAAAATCACAATTTTGTACAACATGCAGAATGTAAAAGCTAGGACAAATAATGCATAGATGTTTGCACACACTACATGTATGTTAAATCAATATACATGTTACAAGGAAGTGTTGAAATTTGGTCGAAAGGTGCAGGCCAAGGTCTGGGTGTTTAATTTGTTTCTGTTTTATGTTTTAACAAACTTAAGTTTATAAGTGTAGCAACCCGTGGGCCTAAAACATATTTCAATAAAACAATAGTTTGCGTAGAAAATCATTACTTACAAGAGTCACAGCAAAAGGGAAAGCGATCACGGCATACCAAGTCATTTTGCCACAGCAACCGTCCATACACCCTTCGTCACGGGACCGCCCTCCCCAGGGCAAGATCTTGATAAAACTGGGTTCGGATTCATTATTATCGGCCTTCGTTCGTATGGCGTTTATTACAGCGAAGTTGTGTTGATTGTATGGACTAAAAATTAAGACAAAAAGATGATCAACAATATTTCCGAAAATAAAAAATCTGAAAATAGTGGTTTTGATAGTCATCTAAATTGATGAATTGTGTTCCATTTTAACAATTAATACTATTTCTTTACGTGTTACAAACTTCAGTGGCGACTTGGATAATATTGTAAATCACGTATAAAAGGTTGAATAGAAATGTAAATGTGAGAACATTCATATGTAGACTACTTGAGATAAAAACGGCGTGACAAGAATGTTAGTCCGCTAGGAACCGTAGTCCGTTCCCCATTACTTTCTACAGGTGACATTCGTCCCATATACCTACCCTCATACTCCCACTTACACTTACCTAATCTTATGGGTGGTATTTCAAATATTCTAAAAAAAAAAACGTTGAGTTAAAATACATACCCAGATGCTAACGACACACTCTTTGTTGTATCCTCAATATTGATACTTGTAGCAGTTGTAGCTCGTGTGTGAATTGCTGCTCCGCCCGTTGGGTGCGCCATGTTAGGTGGAGCAGTTTATTCCGACAAGGACCTCTCTGTTTGGTACGATGTTAGTCACTAAATTACTTTAACTGCAGCAGTCACTTTAAGCTGATTTTTGCCCCCTGCAAAGATAGAAATGGACGGGATGAACTAAATGAGTTATATTTATACAACGTGACCTACTTTCGTTTTGTCCCGTGCTTAACTTACTCAACCGTTAAGGTAAACTTTTTGTTAAAGAATCTTGATAAGGCAAGCGTCTTGAAGTTACATTCTAGGGCCTAGGTTATATGTTCTTGATCAGCACCAATGGTTTTGAATGCACGCTGCTGATGTAGAACAAAACGCAGTTCTTTTTCGTTTTGCAATGCCTGAATAACAGCCGTTATCAGTTGGTAGGTATACAATGCATGTTGGATATATATTTATTCAATATATTATATAAATGTGGGCTAATTAAAAGAAGTCACACGATGAATCAATAAACTTTTCTATAAATAAATAAATAGTGCTTAAATTTATAACTCAAATACCAGTAAGTGAGAAATACAATTCAGTAATGTAACCAAAATCGGATCAGATAATATAATATATGGGTCATACGGGCGAAAGAAATGGTTTACATCAGCCACTGTGGCAGAGGTGAAACTTTATTCATTGCAGTAGATTTGACAAGGTGGTCCTTGTGTTGGATGTGACTATTGTCCTCTGCTTAATTCACTACAACTGCATTCACGTACAATTAAAAAAGTTTGATCAGTTTTGAATTCCATACAAGTTTTTTTGTCAATAGCTTAGAGCAATAATAACTCTTCCTTTGAGATTCAAAATCTCGTAAGAAATACATTCTAAACAACACACGGAAATATATTATATTGCATTTCACCACTAAAACGGCTGTTATTGTAGTATAACTAAAAACTGCTTGTCAATAGGGCTTTCGGTGACTTTCTTCCCGGTCGTCAAGGCATTCGTTGCCAAGGATTTTGGCGCATCACGCGGATTCTCGCGTGCATTCGAGACCAAAATAACATGTGGCGGGATAAGATATAGCACAATCCTCAGACGTAAGTTGCGAGTTTTTGTACAGTATGTCGGATAACGAATTGCCCAGAACTGCACACGTTGTGGATATAAATGCATTCTGAGCAATAAGACGATTATATCGTATGAATCTTATTTTATTGTAATAAAGTGTTGTTGTTGTCTGCTTTTCCCGCGGTTTTAAGTAGGTCATCAAAAAACCCCGCTCGATAGGCCATGTCAGAAAGGGCTCCGTCAAAAAACCAAGCGTTTAGGAAAAAACCCTGGACTAACTTTGAATGCAGGAATGGGGTCGTTGACCATTGATAAGTACGGGAAAATTGCCGTTTACGCCAGGAAAATCCAATTTTTGGCCAAAACGAAGTGTTATTATGACTTTAAGAAACCTGTACTAAAATAATGTAGTATTACTTATCATAATTTTATACTGCAAGAAGATGAGAAATTGACTGGTAATTTATACATTTGTTCAAACAAATTCACTTATATATTTCTGTTGAATTACATTTGATACTGTTTGCGCGATGCTTTAATACTGTTTGTTCCAATCATTTAAAATAAATTACATTGCGTAGACGAAATGTATACTTTTCCGATATAAGAACCAATTCTAAAAAATGAAATAATGACACAATCATATTTCTTTCCTAATAATATTTATTGAAGCCATCATTTCGGATATACTTGAAATTACATCAACGATATTGTGCTTATTCACTGAAGACTATCATTTTCTGTGCGCAAATATATAATATCTAGCAACATATCTAGCAATATATCTAGCAACAGCTTTTAAATAAAGCTTATGAAGAATAACATCCAGTGAAAATTTTCCCTCTCTGTGTCGCAGCCTTGTAATTGAACTCATTGGTCATTTTATTTAAATAAATAGTTCATCAATGTACTTCAAACAATAGTATACGTTCCACATTGCCTACGCATTAACATACATTGGTATTAAATTGCAATATACCTATATATTTCCCTCGTTACGATCAGTATTGGGAATTTCTATATCCCTTTCCAATTCGTTTGATCAGGTTCACCTCCCAATAGCCTAATCATTTATCTTACAACATTTTAAATGTTTTAACAATATTGGACGGCACTGCAATACTTTATGACATTTGTGAATGCCGTCTCCTTATCTAGGACTTTTGTTCAAAATCTAATGTTTCAAGGGCGCAAACACGAAAATCTCTCCACAATAAAATATTACTCGTATCATCTACTTCCCTAAATGGTATAATTCGAATAAATCTAATTTAATTTGTAATTAATGCTTCTATCAAACAGTATGAATGATAGTAAATAATTCTTCAAATTTCAAAATAGCGTGTTGAATTGTTTTAACTAAGAATATCAAATAAGAGTTTTCTAATGATACGCCAGGGTCCTTACAGAAATGCAAAAGGTTTGCATATAGAATTATGTTCATTAGTCGGTATGTCTACCGGTTTGAATTAATACCCATTTTGATCACTGTGGGCGTTAATGAAGTACATTCCGTGAAGGACCAGGCTTCCAATGTAGAGGATGCTGACAAGGAAAATGCTCCGGAACGGAACGCTAAAGCGTCTGGTTTGGTACGTCCAGTTGTATAACATCACGTCGATCTCTGCCTCTGAAATGATACAGATAAAATACAAGTTATGGAAAGGGAAAGTTAAAGTAATGGTACCTTAAAATAAATCGCCCCGTGATGCTGGTGATACAGATATTTCAACCTATTTTCATTTCTTTGTTTAAAAAAGGAATACGCCGTCTAGTGCTTTGTTTGCGGATTTTAACATAATTAAGGTTCAGACATTTTGCTCTTCAATACGCCAGCACGTACATATATTGAGAGAGAGAGAGAGAGAGAGAGAGAGAGAGAGAGACAAAGGCCGGTCGGATGAAAGGGGGGGGGGGTACAAGTAAGTGAAAGAACTAATGCTTAAATACATACCATGATTATGCAGAAGTTGGTATTGCAACATATTAATTTGTTCTTGGTTCACTGCAACTCCTGAGAATGTAATGTGGTTCGCTTGTCTTGCTGTGATTTTAAAGAAGCCGTTCACACTTCCGTCGATGCTGTCATTTGTATCTAACTATGAGATTAAAAGAAAATTCCGTAATTGCAACATGTTTCATTAGATCCGTCTCATTATTTAACTGCTGTATGAATAATGAAACCAAATATACTGACTGTCAATGAAAACGCATCATTTATTTATCAAATAATATTTTAAGTTCCTTTGGCACATTAAGAAAATAACAGTTTTCGCGTAAAATATGACCCATTATTCAGCCACACAATGTGAAATAAAGGTCAGAAAAGATCATTAAAAAAAGATCATTAAAATGCAAGGTCACGTGATCAAATATCTTTGGTTCCGCCCAGCCTCCAGCATCCCCAGGGCGGCAGTCGCTTTTCACGTGTCACACGTGGCATCACAGAACTTTTTTGTCATGTGTCATACTGGATTTGGTGACTACCTTAAATAGGCTTTAATTAATTAAAATTAATCACCATATATTGAACCTGATTAATTCACACCAATCAGGAAAAACACATAATTTTATTACAGCTGATCACAAAATCAGCTGATTAAAAAAATCACTGAAGCGGAAATTTTAAAAATCCGAGTGGTCAGCCCACTCTCTTTTGACCAAACAAGTGCATTTGTACTCGTCTATATGGTTGGAATCGATTCTCGGTAAAAGTACAAGAGTACAAAAGTGCAAGAAAGTTTTCTGATGCGTTTTCATTGACTGTCAGTATACATATATCTTTATGTAGTAGCGTAACCACAGGAAATAAATATTATAACCCAGCTCATTCTTGAGTTAAGCTAAATAAAGCTGAAAAGGAAAACAAATTAAGCACTAGCTGTTACCATAACACCGAAAAGTCAGATGGAAATCAGATGGAGAGCAGACAAATATGATTTTATATCAAATGTTAAGAGCCATACTTTTATAAGGTACCAGGCATCGTTTGACTCAAAGCGACTTTGGTTGACCTTGATGATGACCATTGCTGCTATGTGCCAGGTAAGGAGCAGGCAAAGGCCAAACATGAAGAGATAAGGCATTAAACTTCCTCGTGTCCACCACCCAAACTAAAAGACAAACAAAGTGACAGCTTTATTTTATAAACCCTGTAGCCGAAAATAAACTATACACAGGGAGATAAAACACATTATCAGCTTCCCAACGATACCAATATCTCCAAAAGTAAAAATATGGAGATAGAACGTTATAATTCTCACCCGATGAGTTTATCTTATTTAACACAGTTTACATGTATATTCAGGAACTAGACTGAAGTAAATCTAAATGGGTGGGTTGATATGTGTGTATGTGTACTTGTAAAATAACTTTCTATGAATACATTGTTAAGTCCAAACATCAAAATTGTATTTGTCTTTTGCAAAAGGCTCTGCAGTTTTTTTGGTTTGCTATGGTTGAATATACTTGGCTGGTTTTATACATGCTAATAATAATAATAATAATAATAATAATAATCTTCTTATATGGCGCCTTACATGCTACCTTGAGGCGCCTTACAATAATGAATAATATAACTAAAATCATTAAAATGACTACAATATTTAAATCTAAAACACTCATTGGAAACCATTTCAAAATACACTACTAAAAACATTATTAAAATATATAAAAAATCTAAGAGATATAGACAGATTAAAAAATGTTACTGTAACATGTACATGGCTGACCAAGTATATATTACGTATGTAAGTAATTTATAATTGGACACGAATGATTTTACACATTTTAAGTATTTCACAAGGTACAGTGTGTAGCAAATAAATAAATAAATAAATAAATAAATAAATAAAAGTTTGGAGAACATACCGAATAGGAAATCTGGTACAGACAATGCATAGATATGAAGTACAGTAATGCAAATATGCAGGTCTATAGAGGAGTGACTCTAAGGTCACTCATGCTTTTGTCAGTGGTGTTTTCTCTCAAAATACAGCATGTTTGACATCACCGACGAATCAGTAATCATTTTAAGCTTTGAAATAGATGCATTATGTAACTGCATTACTGCTTTCCCAGTGCACATTAACTAGTAAATCTAAATTGAAAGGAAGTGAGTTAACTTTTCTAGCTGTTCAGAGATTTGGGTAAATTCTACCTTCCCCTTCTTAAATGGGTCTGGGGTTGGCCACACCATAACATGTTCAAACACGATGTCTTAAAACAAATTTCAATAAAACAGTTGGTTGCATAGGAATTCATTACTTACAAGAGTCACAGCTAAAGGGAAAGCGACTACGGCGTACCAAGTCATTTTGCCACAGCAACCGTCCATACACCCTTCGTCATTGGACCGCCCTCCCCAGGGCAGTATCTTGATAAAATTTGGTTTGGACTCATTATTATCGGCCTTTGCGCGTCTGGCGTTGAAAACAGCGAAGTTGTGTTGATTGTATGGACTGGAAATTAACACATACAGGAACAACATTATCTATCTAAGTTTACAATCTAATAATAAATTATCAAAGTGATTAACATTAGTCATCTAAATTGAAAAAAAAATTCAACAGTAACAATTAAATAGTATTTCTTTTCGTGTTACACACTTTAGTAGCACTTATATTATACTGTTTATCACGTAGAAAAGGTTGAATAAAAATGTAAATGTGATAACATACAAACGTAGACTACTATAAAATAAAACTCAGTTGCACAACAGTGTTACGGGCATTGGGACCGGTGTGACCTGCACTGGAATGGTAATCCGCAAGGAACCGTAGTCCGTTCCCCATTACATTGTACAGGTGACATTCGCCCCATATACTGACCCCAATACTCATCCCAACCTAACCCGAACCAATCATATGAGACCCCAGACTTCGTAATTGTTGCAATTTGTTAGAAAAATCAATATGAGTTGTAATTTTTGGAGCGAAGTAATTCTCCTTTATGTGACATTTCCCAAGGCTAAAATCTTGTGGAGTATCAAATACAAACCCGGATGCCAACGACACACTCTTTGATGTTTCCTCAATGTGAATACTGGTAGCAGTTGTAGCTCGTGTGTGAATTGCTGCTCCACCTGTTGGGTGCGCCATGCTGGGTGTGGCAGTTAATTCCGACGAGGACGTGTCTGTTTGTCACGCTGTTAGTCACTAAATAACTTTAACTGCAACAGTCACTTTAAGCCCCCCGCAAAGACAGCAATGGAGCAAGGGATGAACTAAATGAGTAATATTTATACAACATGACCCACTTTCGTTTCTGTCGCGTGTCTAACCTGCTGGTTAATCAACAGTAAAAGTAAACTTCTTGATAAAGAATCTTGATAAGGCAAGCGTTAAGATTTTACATTCTAGGGCTGCTGGGTTATACATCTATGTTCTTGATCAGAACCAATGCTTTTGAATGCACGCTGCTGATGTAGAACAAAACGTGGTTCTTTTTTGTTTACAGTGCCTGAATAACAGCCGTTATCAGTGGGTAGGTACATGTAGGAAATGTATGTAGGACAAATATATCTATTCAATATATCAAATGGATGTGGGCTGAAACATGGGGACTTAAAAGAAGTCAGAGGATGAATCGATTAAACTTATTATGAATGAATAGTGCTTGAATTTTCAACTCAAATAAGTAAGAATTGACCAAAAAAACTCATATATGGAAATTACAGAACTGATAAAACTTTTTAAATTGTACTTGAATGCAGTTGTTGTTAAGCAGAAGACAACACAAGGACCACCTTGTCGAATCTGCTGCAATGAATGAAGTTTCACCTCTGCCAATGGCTGATGTAAACCATTTCTTTCATCCGTATGAGGCATGTATTATATTAACTCATCAGATTATGGTTACTCTGCTGAATTGTATTTCTAGTAGAAACACAATTCAGCAGAGTAAACAAAATCTGTAACACGTCAGGGTAAATATTCACGCAAATTATATGTATTAATATTTCAACCTGTAGATCGTAATGAATGACGTTTGAAACCCATGCATGTTCATTGTTTGGCAAGCAGAACTTAAAAAAAAAACTCAAAAACACGTTTTTTTAACAAAAACATTTTAAAGGAAATTTATCTTTCTATGTAATACACTGAGATCACTTCAACATCATGCTGAATATTAATGTTATGATAATTGTATGAATCAAACCCAAGAGAAACCGTCTTCAATTTTCTGTTTAATATCATCATCATAAACAAACATATTTAATTGTTCTTATGGACAATTTTGTCTGCTTATCAAATAACACTTATCGAATTAAGTGAATAAACGTTGACTACATGGAGAGGAACGCAGAATCCTACGATGTACTTAGAGGAGGTTTCAAATTAATGTGACCGGGGTAGGGGGGTTAAGAGAATAATTTTATGATAATAAATGATTAACGCAACCAGCTTGTTCATGCAAGAAAGGAGCTCTGTTCCACAGCAGCGCATCCAGACATTAGTTATCTCAATAAGGAGGCGTTGTGAAGCATATGTGGTTTGTAGAGGTAGACACACACAATACGAAATATACAGTAGCTGTGAATTCATTTTTGGCCAGTATTATGCATGGTAATTAATATTTTAAGGTTATTAAACAAAAGACGTTCTTTATAACTTCTACTTTTCCAAGTGCTCATTACTTCTTTCGAGAAATATTTTAAAGATGTCATAAAACATATCCAGAATATCCAGGCAAGGCAGGATTGTACATAGCTTTTATTAAACATATATCAATTAACTCTAGAATCCACTCATAAATAGATTAATAGATGGAAAAATTAAGATAAATATGATATATGAAATAGAATTAAATGCTTAACAATAAAGGTCAACACAGTAATCATCATGTAAGCCAGTAGATCCTGGTAAACTACGTCAGAAATTGCAACCTGGTACATTCTCAATCTTTGGCAAGCAGAAGATTATGCAGAACCACATTAATTTTACGAAATCATTATAATGACAAAATCTCTCTTTGCATTCAACATACGTAGTTTTTCAGACAATACAGGTAATCTCTCTGGGCGTTATGTTTCGGGGAAAAGTAAATCCCTAATATCGCCTCACAGTACCAAGAAGAAAAACGAGGTCACCACCCCTTATAAGGGACGGAAAATGTCGCGAAGTGTGCAACAAATATTGCAAAGATTACAGTAAACATGTGATTGTTAAAATCGTTTATATATGTGTTTCAATAATTATATTAAGTGTTTATCTTGATAAATTCTCAGTTCGACCAAGGATGTCGAAGAGAAGGCCATATGAAACATGAGTGGTTTCTAGAGGCGGGCACACGCGATGCTGAAAATAGTTGTGGATTCAATTTAAACCCATGTAATGGTTGATATTTATAGTTTCAGGTTTAAAGTCATTGGAAAAAAATCGTTAAGTGTAAATTTTTGTTTATTTAAGCGCCATTTCTGTTTTGATGAAACCACACAGCGTTAGGTTAACTTAAAGTTAATCCTGATGAATCCTCGCTGTAGTAGGTTAATCTTAAGTCCATCCTGATGAAACCACTTAGCAGTGGGTTAATTTTAAGTCAATCCTGATGAAACCACACAGCAGTAGGTTAATCTTCAGTCAATCATGATGAAACCACACAGCAGTAGGTTAATCTTATTTTAAGTCAATCTTGATGAAACCACACAGCAGTAGGTTCATCTTAAGTCAATCCTGATGAAACCACACAGCAGTAGGTTCATCTTAAGTCAATCCTGATGAAACCACACAGCAGTAAGTTGAAATTCAATCAGTCCTGATGTAGCCATACAGTAGTAGATTAAACCTAAGTAAACCCTGATGAATTTGACAAAAACTTAGGGATAACAAAAACTTTATGATATGAAAATTTTGGGAGCATTACAGTAAGCAAGACTTGTTTAGGTGAGTCTTTAACACAAAATGAATGATTATGAAGGCTTATAAAGCGAATTATAAAATAATGCTGTCTTGTTTTCTTATTTATTATTTTAAGTATTTTGTGACGAAAAATCTGATGTAAAGAAATATCTTTTTAGAGGGAACTGGAATGCAATTTCAAATCCACCATACATGTACATTTTATTTTCAAAATGCACAAGAGCTAGGATTTCATACCAAAATGAAAATATGTTTACCAATCACATATCATCAATCTTAAATGAGTTTTTATCGGCAGGGACTTTTTACATGCCTGTTTACATGCTTTGTTTGTATTTTAAAATTCTGTAATTTGCCCATTTAGTGTTTTGAAAACAAAAAAACATTATTTTATACCTGAATATCTGTTGTATAAGTGTAATATAGCAGTAGGGCGAATATTGCCTGATGAATACGAGATGGTCTAACGTCGAACGCGTCGATGATGACCGCACCGCTTTGTTTTGACTCTAATACTAGTAGTACTTCAAGCACACGTCAAAATCTGGAATACACAATCGACAATCTGCACTTAGTGGTTTTGGACAGTACAGTATGTTGGTATCTAACTGCTTCCTGCAAAGAACATCTGAGGTTATCTCTTTGATATCATAGAAGGGATATGATAAAAATGGTAAAATCTTGACTATGTTATACCGATATCAACTATGGTCTGGACTGGTTTATAACTGAGTCAAAGCTCTGACTGATCATTAAGTCGAGTGAGTACTCAGTGTACATAACGTTTTAGTAGTAGTGTTCTTTAAAAGTTTTATCCACCTCATGACGATGGATTTATACTCAAGGTATGCTTTTTAAGAAAGTTGAAGGGTTTTACATCGAATGAAATTATTTTATCGAACTACTACAGGTGCATAACTGAGTCTTTTCACATTTGCAATCACAGTGTGGTACAGACGTCCAATGGAGAAGACCGCAAGTGTTTAGATGTGGTGACAAATACTTGTAGCACAACCAATGGTTTTGATCTCCCGTCTCTCCATTTATACAGAAAGATTAGAAGCAAAAACAGGAAAAATAATGTCTGACTGTACCCATCCTGCGCACGCTCTTTTAAATTTCTCACCGAGTAACTGTAGACATTTAAGTTTTAAAGGATTTAAAAGGTTTTTACAGTTTTAACCCCTCTGCTGTCTCTCATTTAAAAAAAAAAGAAAAAAAAAACTATATCTTAGAAACAAAATCGTTATCTTATACTTTATTCACTTTACCTAAATAGCAATCCAATGTCCGTTATGTGTGAATTTTAATTTAAATTTCAACGGCTTAATAAACTCTTACCCTTTCTTATCGTATCTAACTGTCATATGACATGCTGTATGGTACAAGGGAAAGCATCGGTGATGGCGACATTGTGCAAAAGACTACTTAGAAAAGACGTGCATGTTGAGTGAATATCTATAAGAGTATCTGCAAAAGTTAACATGAGCACTCTGTGCCCCTCGCAGAGGAAGGATTATCTCTCTGTATGTCGTATTACAGAAATATGGACGGCATTTAATATACCGATACAGCTATTTTGTGCAATGAAATACTCGCTTTTCAAACTCTCTTAAGATATGGAATAGAAAATAATTGTACCAGCGACTTTCTCTTCTGACATATTATTAAGTACATGTAGAAATCGTTGTCACCCACCATAATCCAACCACCATATGCGGTGTTCAATATTCAGTAATCATTTCAAATGACAAGTGTCGTTACATTATAGATATCTCCCAAACAAAGACACTCCCGGCAACAGTAAACGCAATGTGTGCCAGTGAAGAAGTACTGCTAAGCAGACCCCCGCTGGTGGAGGAGGGCGGGTTGCTAGTCTTGACGTCGTGCATTTCTGGCGAAGGTTTGCCTAATTGAGTAGTACCTGTACTTCCGTCAGATGCGCAGGAGTCCTTAACCAAACCCAACACGGTTACCAGGTATACCTTGCCTTCAAAGGTGATTCGTTCGTTTCTGGCCTTCAGCTTCTCCGAGAAGTCGTCTAGGAACGAGGCAAACATCCGAAAACCTTCACGATAACTGTGGATCGCCTTCGTTAATCTGATCTTAAAGGAGGAGACGGAGACTACTCTTGGACTTGTTGCATTTTGACCTACCTCTCTACACAGCCCATGGAGGCCTGACAATTTCCACACCCCTTTACTGGCAGTTTTGAAAATGTTGAGATGGAAGAGATAACC